AGAAAAAGTTAAATTCAGCAAATGGTTCAAATCATACAGGTGACTGTATTATAGACAATTGGTTATTAGCAACATGTAAGTGATATTACTGTTTCATTTTAAGTGTTTCTGCTGTGGTGCATAGTTAGTTAACTTTTGCATTACTTAACTTTTCCACGCTAGTAGACACTCACTTGCATTGCTGTCACGTGTTCTCCATTCTCCCGGCAGATCCTCACGCAATTAGAAATGAGGCAAAACTGTAACTGTTAATTTGTTAAAACATGAATTTAAAGTTGGCATTCCTGACAGTCTTCATTTTCTGAGGTGGCACAGCTTTAGGTATGAAACAGAATTTTCAGAACTATAGCTGGTGAGATTTTATGCTGTGAGTGACTGATTACTTTGAGGGTAAATTTCAGATAAATTCTGTCAACAGTGATAAATTGCTCATTGTTCATTGCAGTCTACCAATCAAGTTAAGCTAATGCAACTACAACATGCTGCAGTTTTTAAGGATACCAGTGGAGGCTTTTGCAGATTATTTTAAATTGTGCCAAAGTCCTGTCAAGATGGATTCCAATTTCATTTTTCTAAAATAGTTAATAAAAACAAAATCTGTGCAGAACTAAACCACCAAAATATTTTAAAAAGTGAAGCTTATATTGTTTTAGTTCATCAGCTAGACATGCATTTAAATTATATGCTTGTTTTGTACATTTTCTGATTACTTAGAATATATTCTGCAAAAGCTTATCTGACATTAATATATAAGCAGTGTACAAAAAGTCCATTTAAATGTGTGCCTTTATCAGTTTGCTTTCACATAATTGAACTTTGCAAAACTTTAGAAATTATTTCCACTTTGGCTTTTCTGTTTTATAGTAAAAATCCTTCTGTCTTAAAAGTAATGCATATCGTTTATGTTGGTTTGTAAACTTCACAGTCAAAACATTCTTACAGCGCATATATATGTGTGTGTGTGTGTATTTTTTTTTAAATTAAATATTTTTAAGGAAACAGTAAGAGCAAGGCAGCAAAGAAATGTCCAGGTCAGCTGAATATGGTATTTGTTTACCCCTGCAGAAAAGGAATGTAAAGCATTTTATGGCTATTTAAGGATATTTATAGTAATAAGTTGTAGGACCGCCCTCTTCATCCCAGCAGTCGTTACCTTCAGATCTCTCATGAATCAGAGTTCAGCTGTGTCAGAAGTCATGTTAAATGAGAGGTTTCTAAAGCTATTTGTTGTTTTAACAGGCAATAGAAAGAAGAAAAACCTTTCTTAATTTACTTCTTGAATGTCAGTGTTCTCACACATTTATTTACACTTTTCTCTTCTTACCTTTCTCATAAACATCTTTGCTAAGTAAGAGATACTGTGTGAGTTTTTGTTGTTAAAACAGACTTCATCAATGGTGCTGTGCAGATTGATAGGACTGTTTCTGTTTCTTGGGAATAGACAGTCATTTGTAGGAACTCTAGCAAATTGTAGAAGAATTTCTATAAAGTTGTAGCTCCTGAGTGATCACGTAATTTTTAGTCCTAGATTTTTCTTGCTTTAGAGAAGCTTATCTCTTGTTGCTGTCTGTATAGAAATTTTTACTTCAAACACTCTTAAGTGATAGAAATGTTTTGCTACAAAGTGCTCCTTAGATGGTAGGATTGTGTTCATTGGGCTTTGCTTATTTGCTGTTTCTGTTTGTAGTTTTGTCGCCTCTTCCCATGGATTTTAACAAGTTAGACTCACTAGGGCATGATACCATCATACCAGAAGTGAATTCGGGGTTAATTCTTTTTCCAGGTTTAATACACTGCTGGATGTATTTAATAAATTCAAAGTTCTGTCGTAGAGAGCAGTGGCTCAATAAAGAGTCTTGAATCTTGAGTGTATGTCAGTTATGTATCACTCAGTTTAGCACATACTCTGAACCCATCAAAGGATTTTCTACTTGCTGTAATTGACAGATAGCCCTGAGTTTTTGATGTCACAATTTCTGAAAAATAATACAGCAAAAGTAGAGAAGTATTAAAAGAAATATTAAAAGTGGTATGCCCTGAGTAACTATATCCTGGGGACTGTGTTTGTACACGCCGAGGGCAGAGTGCAGTCAACAGTGACTTCTCTTGTTGGATTCCTGACAAAATTGTTCAGTTCTGTTACCTATTGAGTTGTACATTAGAATAAGCCCCCATTCCCGAGTTAAATTTTCCTTAGAGAATATATTCTTCTCATCTTTTGTTCTAGTGGTATGCCCTGAGTAACTATATCCTGGGGACTGTGTTTGTACACGCCGAGGGCAGAGTGCAGTCAACAGTGACTTCTCTTGTTGGATTCCTGACAAAATTGTTCAGTTCTGTTACCTATTGAGTTGTACATTAGAATAAGCCCCCATTCCCGAGTTAAATTTTCCTTAGAGAATATATTCTTCTCATCTTTTGTTCTTGTTGTTGTTGAAATCAGC